CTGTAGCCTACAACTCCAATTCTACTATCTTAACCAGCCAACCCTTCCTCATTATTTACATATTTTTTAATTCTTATTTACATACCAAACATTTCCTATTGAAATAAAAAACTGGAAATGAATGGCATTTTCTCCCATTTAAAGCTTTATGTTAAAAGAGCAAATAGGTGAGCCTTACAGTATGACATCTTTGAACAGCTGACTTCACAATAATAACTTCAAAGAGTCACTTCACACTTTTAAAATGGAGAGTCAGCAATTGATCAGCAATACATAAAGAGGAAACAAAATTACAGGTATAAGGTTAATAGCTCATTTCTTTACTAAAGGAAAGCCCTAATAAAAGGCAACACTAAGGAGCTGTGTTTTACATTAAAGGTGGTGATTAGCATTGCAGTCAGTACATGACTACACTATGAGAACTCACTTGCAATAATGAACTCTGACCACTGGCTTTGATATGCATTACAGTGATGTGTGAGTTGACAGTGGAATTATTAGCTGATGCTCATTTCCAGAGTTTATTTCTGGGTCTTCCTGACTCAAGTTATTCAATAAAGCAGTGCATATAAAAATCTTAAAGTATAGAAATCACAGATATCACATGAATTCTTTGCTGTTTTGTATCAGTATTATTTATCTAACAAGAAAATAAGGTTTTCCATAGCCCATAGATGTTAAACTAATGCAATAAGGATCACGTCCAAAATCCACATAAATATGGACCAAAGTTTTAGTAAAACTGTCTTTCAATCTATCTACATTGTGATTTTCTCACTGATGTTGTACACTTCCAAAACATAATTCCCACTGTTCAGCTCAGGTAAGCCTACAGGGTCTAGTCCAACTATTATTAGAAATACTCCATATTATTCTATTCATATTCATTGCAGAAAACAAATTTGAAAGATCAAGCAATTTAGAATCAAATACATACTGGAAGGAGCCCCACTATCTCAATTTTTGTCTGATGAAATCTATGAGTTTCAGCTCTCAGACACATTCACATCTTCAAATATCCTGAGTTTTCAACTACAGCCAAGTCAAGTATCATCATAAGAGAACATGCAGAAAAATAAGTAGTTTTATCTTAGCACATAGTAAAGTTATGCCTTCTAACTTCACCTGTGAGACAGTCAAGTTAACAATCATGACCCAGCATAAGCTTCCTGAGATAGTTCATTTAAAAGAACAACTTTCTAAATTAGGTAAGAATTTAAAAGCAAATATTAGGTTAGGTAAGAATTTAAGAGTGAAAACATGCCATACTAATAGAAGCTGAGAAATTCTCATCAACACTTATTACTAGGACAATTCTAGCAATCTGATCAGTGCAGAACACAACAAAGTGACTGCAGGATTCAAAGCAGGAACAAAAACCTCAAGCCAAAGAAAAAAACACCAACTTTTTATCAGTACATATAATGTATATGGTAAGTTGACAGACACAGAAAAGACAAGATATCTAATGACAGCAACCTCTTTGAATCAGATCTTATACTGTTGAAGACGTTTGCTCCTACGGTGAAGAGTTCAATTCCTTATCCAAGTAAAATATACCAGAAGTAACACACAAAGGGAAAAGAAAATCTAATGGAAATTTTTAGTAATTTAGATAAGAAACATCCATGATTTAAGCTACTTGTCCCCTTAATTTCAGCAATTTCTTTTAAAAATCATCCATTTTAAAATAGCTAAAAGCAAACTCCACAATTAACATATTGGCCTTGAAGTCCACATTTAACATAAAATATTAAAATAACATTTTAATATTTTTAACATAATATTTAACATAAAATATTTAAAATTACCGAAAAGACAAGGCAATAGGATTTTAGAAGAGCTGTAACAATACTATCAACAATCCTTAAGGCCAGACTAGTAGCCTTAATACAAGCATAAAATATGCAATTATATGGGAACTGCTGCATCACAGCCTGAACCACTGATTGACCACCTGAGGCGAGCACTAAGTCAGCCATGGAGCACAGGTGAAGGCAATTCAGCTGTGTGACCAGAAGGGGTGGAGCCTGGCTGCACCTCTCCTAGACCCCATTTAAGGGCTGACTGCCAGTGGGGAAGGATCTTTGGGGGAAGATCCCTCCTTTGGAGTATTCCAGTAAGCCCAGGACAAGTGTAAGCCCCTTATCTATTATTTTTGCTGTAATAACCTACTTAGCCAAGCTCTCTTATTTATTTCTTAATTATAACACATCATTAATTATACAGCAATCAAAGGACAAATTCCATTTAAAACTCATCCTTCCACTATGTGGCATTTTCTTACTAAACAAATACTAAGTATTTATAAAACTGCTGTTGCATGGTATAAAAGGTATACAAGCAAAACACTAGATTCATGAATGAGTATAAATAACCCTTGAGAAGAAAAATGAACAACAACAAAACATTCACTTCCCATAAAACAGGGTTTTGTATCTTTGGATGTTCATATATTCAAAAACTAAAGGCCCTTATTGAAACATATTAAAGGTCATGGTTTTTTTTGTTATTTTAGCTGGGTTTTGTGTGATTTTACAGCTACCACCTCACGTGTGCTGGAACTTACCTTTGTGAGAGATATAATTCTGCAGAACATTAGTGGGATATAGCTAGAACTCCATTGCTAAATTAAAAAGCAATAGAGTGGAATGGCTCCTGTACTACACAATGTTAAAAATAACCCTAAAAGTGGAGCAATAACAAATATTACAAGGTATTTTTTGTATTCTTACAAATGTTAAATACTGAAGACATTTAAAATATACTTAGTATGCAACAGTATATCATCACAAGCTTAAGACATTAAAATACAATACTTGAATATTTGTGCTGTTGTTATACTGAAGTGTTCAAAAATGCTCAAAAGATGATTTGAAGCTTTTCCACTGGGACTGTTACAAGTCTGTTGACTTACCGTGTCAGCTATGAACAAATGAGACTAACATTGTATTTTAACATTTGAGGAGATGCACTCCAAATTCCTCAAATGTTCATGTCTCTATTGGGAAACACAAAGGAAAATGAGAATGATGGAAAAAAGAAAAGAGATAAACATGAGGAGCAAGCAAGAAATACACTAAGATTAAAGAAGAGAGAGGGAGGAAAAAAAAATGAATTAGCTTAGCTACTTTATGGCACAAACAAATACAATAATCCTCACCCTCATCCCAATTCACTCTTATTTTGAAATAAGGTAACTTGTTGCACCTAAAAATAGCTATTAAGTGCTAATTTAACTTTTCATCATTTTTCAGCAATCTTTTTTACTACTACCATTTCTTTCCCCCCATTAAATGAAGTCAAAGGAAAAAGCTTTCATTGTAGAAAGACATGGATGAAGTATGAAGCTGGAAAAAACAGACTTGATAAGAAGTGATCCTTCATCACTATCAACAGTACTAAAATATAGTATCTTTCCTCACAGAGACATTTAACCTCAAAAGATTTGTGTCCACTTTTACTCATAAATTACCCATTACAATAGTCGCAGATTCTTTCCACATACCTACTGAAAGGCAAAAGAGAGCAAATGTTCACTGAGCTACACATGTACCCACTTTTTAGCCACCAAACCAACATAGAATCAGTTGTCACCTAGTGTTCATTACAGCATGTGCACGCTTCCAGCTTTCTTTGGTAGAATTTTGTGGAAACATGAATATATGATGCATTTTTGTCACAGGTTTGATGTATGGGCTAATTTCAGAGAAGCCAAAGAATCCAGAAAACAACAGATGAGAGAACAGCAGAAACTCTGCTCACTCAGAAATCGAGCAAAACAAATTATTCAGTGGAAGTTGGCTAGTAAGACACACAAGAATGATTACTGATGTGTTACTACTTGGATAATAGCTGATCCTTAGATAACAGTACCAAATACAGTAGTAGCTAAAATTATTAGTAGTTCACTGGATACCCACAGTTATCTTTAATAATACCAAGAAAAGAACTTTTCCTGGCTGCTACACCTTGATGAGCATGCATCCATTGACTACCTATATTAAGTATAATGGCAGGCACACAGAGCTCTCAAAGAGTATTCATTAGACAGAGGAAGAATGCTATTATCACATCCAGCATTCTGCCAACAGAAATATTTTATTGTAAAATAATTAGAATATCTGTAGGTTAATACTAAAAATAGAAAGCTTTATTATTTGTGTTAAGCATAAAAGCTTGCAGCAGCATAATCAGACTGCATACGATAAAAACAGAATTAAATACTACCTTCTCTGTAGTCAAGCTTTTTAAAATCTCAAGCAACTCAATTTCCTAGTTGATTTTTAGTCTACTCAGTACACTAAAAGCACCAAAATAATACCATAAAAGACCAAAAATGATGTCCTCATCTTTTGCAATAAAAGTAGTGGGAGAACAATTAAAATTCTTTTTTGTATGCTTTTCTTGTTTTTTAATGTTGTATTCATTTTAATCAATCAAGACAAGACTTCTAAACTGTAACACTATCTGACACCATGAGATCAGTGAATGCAAAAAGAACCCAATTTTCTGGGTTGAAAAAATCAGAGAAAATGAATAGCTGTGTGTTCCATCACAGCCTAAACAATGAACAACAGGTAGGAGACACTAAGATGTCTTGAAACATACTGAGTGTGCCTATACCAAATGTCTCACAGTATTATCTGAGATATTCAGGAACTTAAAGAGGATAGTGTATTTTCAGAGGAACTAAATATCTTTTAAGTTACTTAAAAGGTATTAAAGTTACTGTTTAAAATGTTTTTTAACAAGTTAAGATTTCTATGATTTTAATACAGATTTAGCATATGAAATATTAAAGACAATCAGACATATAATAGTAGCTCAAAAGCCATAAGGTTATGTTCTATCTCAAATTTCCTATACATTTTCTACATCTCCTCAGTGTCAATCAACAGAGTAATAACAGTGAGATTTATGTTACTGTTAAGCCCTAATTGAATGAACTACACTGAAACAAATAAGTCAGAACAGCAAAGAGTAGATAATTATACCACCTCACAGAAGAAGGGCTGTGTTCAGTCAGGGCCACCAACAGCTTCAGAGCATACAGTGGTACTGGGTCTGGAGTCATCAGGATATGCTCATACCTAAAGGGGGAAAGTGAAGCAACATTTTAAAAACACAGAGCTGTGTGTTAATAAGTTTATTACAAATACAACAATTTCACATTTCAAATTTCATAATAGCCACAGTAGAAAAACAATGCTGTTAGAAAGCTCATAAAACAATAAAAAAGACCAACTTAGAAGCAGGATTTAAAAACAGCTTCAGATTAACTTTTAAAACAGCATTAATAAAAGAACTAACGGGTTTTTCCATATGGAGATAACCAAGCCTCACAGTATTAGCCAGAAGGACCATCAATCAACACACACATGATTAATAGCTACTTTTTGCTTAAATATTTATTTTTTTCTCCAATATTTTACTTGAGGAATATTTGCATTGAGCTCTGTATTTTATTTCAAATTTAATTCAATAATGTTTTAACTATAGCATACTTGCATTACCCAAGTGACAAGGAACAGAACAACACAAAAATAACATTTACCAAGAGCCACAGTATTCAAGATAATACTACAAGATAAACACCTATGAAACATTTCAAAATATCATCTCCTGGATACCTTGGTGTAATGCTATAACATAATGGAAAACACAGCAATAACAGCAGGGAAGCAAAGTCCTCAGCTGCAGCAAATGAGGACAAGCTCAAATGCAGCAGCCATTAACACAGAACCAAAGGAAAAAAAGCTGCTTACCTTAGGAAGGCCTCAGCTAAGCAGGGGTCTCCAGCAAGATACCCTCACCTCCACTGCCAGCCCTTAAATGAGTTCTGGGAAGGGGTGGATCCTGGCTCCTGCCCTTCCAATCACTCAGGTTCGTTACTTGCACCTGAGCTCCCCTGGTTTGGCCCGGCCTTCCCACCAGGTGGTCAATCAAGGTCCAGGCTGTGACCTCAGCATTTCCACTACACTTGGTAAAGAAAAAGGAAAACAGGCTGCTGATAAACAAAATGGACCTTGCTGTTGTTGCTCGTTTTCCAGTAATGCTCATTCAATAAACAGGATTGTATTTATCTTTTTAAAATCATAGTGTATCTGGAGGGCAAGAGGATGATGATGGAAGAGAGAGAGATGTCAGCTTAAAGGAGACAGATGCAACCATATCAAAACTTGTAATCTGATTATAAGCAGAGCTACTCTAAACATGTGGAAGTTAACAGAAGAGAAAGCACAGATGTGTTGATTTGTAAGAGCTAAACATGAAGAATTAATCAATAAATCATGATTTGTAAGAAGATACGGTAGTTCATCATATTTGTGCACCAAAATGCTTCCCTAACGTTTTTCCTTTCTTGAGTTCTGGTGAAGGAGGGAGGAGGAGGTGTAAAAATCAAGGAAACTGATGAGAAACGTGCTTCACATGTTGAAATTCCTCATCATGACTAAACGAGGAACCTGCATCACCTGTCACCAAGCTGGCACGTACTTTCTATGGTATGCCAGCTCTTCCATGGAACAGAGGTTCCCCCTTTGCACCTCAGCATTCTGATCTGCACAGGAAAGAAATCTAGAAGGCTACAATGAGATGCAGTACAGGGTCGAGCACTCCAATTCCACACTCTTGATGCAGCCTGTGGGATTTCATTCAGAAGAGACAAATATTCCCACACAAGCACACAGCCTATAAGCAGTGCATCACAGCTTCTCTGTATTAGCCTAAATGTGCTGCCATAGACTTGTAAAGCACTCACATGCTGGAGAACCTATGTTACAGGTCAATGACTAGACAATGTTAGCTTCATGTTTCTGGCAACCAGAATTTCTCCTTTACAAACAAAAGATTTCAGCTACTGAAGGAAAACTGTTTCTCACTGGTAATTAAAGATTCCCTTTCCTCATAAAAGGAGAAAATACCATGATGCATTAGTAAACACTGATGCTGGAACGTTGCACACATGCAGTACGTATTCCTACCAAGCATGAAGGAACTATCTGTTTGTTTTGGTTTTTTTTGCAGGATCTACAACAAAATGTTCTGAGATAAGCAAAGGTGCTACATAGTGACTTGGGAATCAGAAGTCTTCAGTTCACTTAGTAAGATGAAGATTTAGCACTCAAAAATGTTAATTCTTAACAGTAATAATGCATCAGGCATACTAGCTTGAAACTCTGACATTACTTGTTTTATACAAACATGTATGTTTATATAAATACACTTGTTTTTCTTATGCCAATATCTTCTCTAAATTGAGTCCACTTAAAACTCTTTAAAGCCTTCTGTGTATTCCATCTGAGAGAGATTATTACTATTCTGCACTTAGCAGCATAATTCCTTGGAGTTCAAAAAAGGAGTCTTATTTAATTCCCTCTTACATCAAACTCTGTTTTTTCCCCAAAGATAATTAGAAAAAAATACAGAAGGAGCAGTGATCTAACAAACCAAACACCACCTGAGAAAGCACAGATTACTAAAGTGAATTTCTTAGCAATTAATGTAAACACATTTCCTGAGTAAAGGTCATCATCAACTATGAATACGCGAATCTGCCATGAAAGGGAAATGTTCTGTGCATAAAGACTTCATTAAATGAATGAGTTCACCCAGTGGTTTTCCAGCCCCTTCAAAATGCAAACTCACTGAGTAACAGCAGTTTCAAAGAGCATTTTATAATGGTCCTCCTAGCAACATGACCACAAAGAGTTTAGTCAGTCTTCACCACTAGTGACAAGCGGACCTAAGGGTTGTAAAATATGGATTCTCTTCAGCTCTTAAAAAACTAAACATTTTATCTACACATTATCTCAAATGTCCAGTATTTTCCACTTGCAGAATTGGCTTGACAGTCTGCTTGGAACAAGATACATAATCTTTGACATGAAAGAAAACCTTTTTTTTTTTTTAATAAACACATTCTTCTCCTGTCATTGGCTCAAATTAACTATGTTGAATAAGTAGGAAAATTAATAATTAAATGAGAAAAAGATGGCATTTGAATTTCTGATTTAAAAAAAAAATATGGATCAGAAATAGAAAATAAATGAGGACATTCTTTTTATAGAAGAAAGTTTCATTTTGGTTAAGGGATGCTCAGGAAAACGACTGCTCAGTGAGGTGAGATGAAATGACAGTTTCACTTGAACAAAATCCTATGAGCAAGTTAATCTTTTGATCTTCAAATGTACAAATATTCAGTGCAAGAACCATCTTACTGATTGTGCAGAGATGTGAAAAAAGTAGTAATCGCTTTTTTGTCCTGCATTTATCTCAAAAAGATTACAATTTATATTCATGCAGAGTGACCAAAATTCTACTCCGTGGGTCACTTTTACATTTAAACAAATTGCACTGTTAAGCTTAGATGCTCCTCAATGGCTCTCAGTTATTAAAAAGCAGGATTCCAGAGTGCCCAGGTACAGCCATTGCATTCCTCCTCTCATGTTCTGATTGCCCTCCAGCTGAGTCACATCCTGTCACATCCTTTGTCCGAGAACAGAAAAGCTAAAAACCTTCAGCAAACACCACTTCAGTCTCCAAACACAGGCCAGCACTCTCTCTTTACCTTCTATCCCAGAGTCTTCCTGCAACTCTTACTTCTTGGGGTAGAGATTTATGTTATATCTTTAAGCATAAGTCTGAATCTAATCTTAGACCTCCCTCTGTTGTTTGGAGCCAGTGCCCTTTGCATTCAGATTCTTTTGAGAACTGTAGATACCATACAAGAATTCATTCCTACCTCCCATAAATATTTTGTGATCCATACCTAAAACATTATTGAACAAAACTTATCTTTAGTATCTTCTTGACATTCAAAGCAGTTGATTTGATCTTCTCTTGGTCTCCTTTTCTAATATCTCTCAAAACAGTTTTGAGACTTTCAAATCAAAATTGAGTTTTCCATTAGTCTTTCAATGCTTTTTGTTCCATGTGTGCTTTCTTGCACTGATTACCTGCTCCCCAAAGCTGAATGCATTTACTGAGCATTAGCTCAACCTACATGTTCAAGTAATGTATTGTACACAACAGTAGTTGATTCTTTCTGAATTATATATTCTTTTACTGTGCTCCTAAACTGGGGTAAAATTTGTTTATAACTAGTTCCAATATATTTAAATTATCATAACCTTAAATATTTTTAAGATAATCTCTAAATGCTTTTCAAATACAAGTATCATCATCTCCACTGGTGAAATAAAGGAACTGATTCAGGAAATATTTAAAACAAGCCTGGAACCAAGATTCTGAGCTACTGCAAGACCCTTTTTACACATCTACAATACATATCCATAGATATTTCACAGCTGTTTTCTCCAAAGTACAACTGCATTTAGTTTCAGACTGGAAAGGTCTGCCACCCAATAGAGCTAATGAGCAGAAGAAACTGCAGTACATTGCTTGTTTTCTTTCTAGTTCGCAGCTGGGACAACCCCTCCCTCAGTTCAGTGAGAAAACATTTTATAAGATGGGCACATCTTCAAAGGGCAAGTTTCAAAGCAGACAGAAGCTGGTCTTGCTTGACTCAGACTCTTCCCAATCTGAAGAAAATTATGTCAGCTTTTAATAATGCATAAAACTCTATTCTTTAATAATATTTCTACTTTCAATTTTAACCCATATTAATAAATCCCATGTTTTCAAGTGAAGAAATAGTGTGAAAAAGGTGTGAAAATAAACTTCTCTATACATCTGTAACTTCCTTCCCATTCTCTCTCACAAAGGAAATACTACACATCCTGCATGTACTAAACTTTAATCCTCAGACTGTAAGAATGTGAGCCAATTAGCAAGAGACAGCCTCATTTATATGGAAGACACTAAGTTTCTGATCATAATCCAGCATCCATTCCTCTGCCCTTCTACCACTTACTTAATATAAGGGTGGGGAACAATTTCCTCATTTAAGGCAGTGAAGTATTGACAGCTACTAACTTCTGAGGACCACACATTAAAATACACTGTAACATTATCCTGGAATAGCGTGAAAGATAACTGAAGGCTCATCTTTACTGTACTCATCCTATGTCTGTGTTTTCTCTCCCTCTACTGAGATGTTATATGTATACACAAGAATAACATACAGAGCTCTCTTTATGCTCACCTGCAAGTCATTTTGAAATGACAGCCCCCATTTTACCGCATGCCATATAATTCAAGTTCCAGGTCACAGCTGGCCCACAGGCTGTAGTTTCATAGACTGGGGTAGGGTTTTATTCCTGCTTGGGGCAGCAGGAAGGGCAGCAATTTAGAGGCAATAAACTTTGAGTGAATCATGGAGGACTAATCCATCATGTTCTTTTCCCGTTTCCAAAGCTATAAGCCATTCCATATGATCTCTCAACATCTTCCAGGAGGGCACAGTATCCAAAGTACAATTGAATTATTCCAATTTCATCAGTTGAACAAGGAGAATATATTTAAATCGCAGCTAGGGAAACTTGCTTCACTACAAGAGTAGCCAGAGGCACAGTATCACCAAGATGCAAAAATGAGTGTCAGACAGAAACCGTGTTTGTGTTACATACAACCAAGTACTGAATAAACCTAGGAGAGAGATGTTTCTGGGCAGAGAACTCTGACAGTAGTTAAAAGCCATTCCTTTTTTTTCATTTTGCCACTTAAACATGAAACTGGCATTTAAAACAAATATGCTGTCAAAATGGATTGAATATCAAGTTTTCTCCCACTGAAACAGCAATGTTGTACTTACTGAGGCAGCAATGAATCTCTAATGAGAGACAGAAGCTTCCTGTTTGAGTCGAGGCTCTCCTCTTTCTCCTCAGCCATAACCTTGTGGTTTAAGAGTAGTGATGTGGTTTCTGAGAGCAACCGCAAACTGAAGAGACTCCATTCCACTTGAAAATAAAGGTGCCAAGAATGTGACCACACTGAAGTTTAATTAAAACAAAATGTGGAATTCATGCAAACTGTAGATGACGTGGCTATATACTTACCATTCTGACTGTGGACCAAAGAAACTAGTGGTGGGAGGATGCAGCCTTCAACCTAAAAGAGAGAATTAAAAAAAAATCTGGCTTAGATTATTCACAGGGGAAAAAAAAAGAATAAAAGAGATGTATCTGTATTCATTCCACTGTCAGAGTCCTTAATCAAAGAGGTGAGTAATCATAGAAATTCATCCATAATCACACTTACAAAGCCACAAAGTAATTTTATCCCTGGTTTGTAAAGTTGCAGACAGTAAAGTACTTACACAGAAAAAAAAAACTGTGAGTTTGTTAGAATTTACTGAGAGTGAATTTTAATTTATAATATCAGATTCAGTGCAGATGTAAAAGAAAGTAACCAAAAAGAGCATGGGCGCATCTACTAGTCCCAGTGTTTTAATCCATAAGCTAGAAATCAAGTAGAACAAAGAAGAAATATGAAGCAGGGCCAGTGGCGCAATGGATAACGCGTCTGACTACGGATCAGAAGATTCTAGGTTCGACTCCTGGCTGGCTCGGCTGCTCCTTTTGCCCAGAGATGTGGTCATGGAAGCCCCATCTGCCGAGACACTCAGAGCGACCTGTCCCTGTTGTCCCTGCTGTGGGCGTCCCTGTTCTCACTGCAGGGGACTTGGACTGCGCGACCCCTAAGTGCCTCCTTCACCTCCAATGATTCTGTGACCTTAAGGAACATCCCTCTTAGAGAAACCTGTACACAGCTAAAATGTATCAGGAAAGACTTACTAGCTCTAATGCAATATAGTCAACCTTAGTAGAAAGTCTTGAGAAAGCTTTAACTTCTTCATTTCAGGTAATATACAGATTTTCATTAAAATTTAAGTTTACAGAGTCAAGATTTGAACTACGGAGGAAAAAAAAAACCTCAGTAAATTCTTTGCTAATCGTGAGTTAATCTGAATTACAGATTAATCATGTGTCATAGTCAGCTTAGTTACATTTGAAATCAGATCAGTTTTATATATTTAAAAATAAATAAACAGAGTACTTATGTATTTTATCTAATACGATACAGCACTAAGTCATCAGTGAAATAACATTTACACTAGAGAGGCTTTAGAGATTTCAATATGGAGGAGAAGCAAAACATTAAATAACTGTGTGAAAAATTGGAATGACCTATTTCCATATGACTACAATGTCAAGACATTTACTGTGATAACTTAGACCCAATCCTTTGTCTAGTATAGCCTTCAGATCAAATAAAAAGCCACAATCTGAAGAAAACTGTTTTTCCTACTTCTGGGGGCCTGAAGTAGAATTCAAAAGCAAAAGAAAAGAAATATTATGGAAAATACTGCTCATTAATTCTGTTAATTCCAGACAGAGATCATTTGAAGGGACAGGTCCTAAATTCTCGAGGGTAGCCAGTCTCCATTGCTTTGCAGAATTAAGAGGTTTAGAATCAAAATACAGATCATCCCTTGCTGCTTGTTAATGATCAGTTCAGATCTTCAATTGATATTGGTTTGGAAAGGTAAGCATCATGGATACACAGCTGACCTTTGGAATTATCGATATACATGAAATTACTAGATAGGCTTTTACTACACCACAAATAGGATTTGGTGCAATGTATAGCTTATAATTCCCTATACGTTTTGATTTATTGATTAACCTCTAGAAGATACAACTCTAGAGTTATGCAGCTACTATAAAGAAAAAGCCAGAGAAGATTAAAACATAATGAAGAGGGGTTACTAAATGAAACAAGACTCCAGTCAGCAGTAGCTAGAGCCACTCTAGTTAATTATTTCCTTGTTAGTTGGTGGTCTCTGGTAAATGAATGCCCAGTTTTAAAGGATTCATTTAGTCTTTGGCTTTTTTTCACTTCTGAAAAAACTACCAAAAGGTGCCTTTGTTACATACTTTCAATAAAAGAGGTAAAGGTCTCTGCTTGAGGTATGGCAATCAATCTTCACTTGCAAGCACAGATAGCCTTAATATCCATATAGGTAATGATGTAGCATAGATGTAGCATAGATGCTTTTGTAAACATTATCATTTTGAAATATTTCCCAGTCCTTTCAGTCAATAGGTAATATGATAAAAAATAAAACTTCATTGTGCTCTAGCAGATCCATTTGTGCAGGTTTCTAAACTGTTTTGCAAGTGGTAATTTATCATTTATATAACAAACCTGTGAGGCAAAAAATGTATGCACTTCAGGTCATTTAACCCAAAAATCTGTTCAGTCTACTGCAAAGTTTCTCAAATGGTTAATTTAAGTAGTAAACCAGAGAAGAAAAGTGAAAGAGCATCTCTAATTTTTCTGAAGCAACATACAAATGCGGAATATCCAAAATCATTTAGCAGCAGCATGAACTCAGAATTACACCGATTAAGATGGCAGCACACAGCAGTATGATACAACTTGAATTTTGATAAACTTTCATTTTCATACAGTATTAGCAGTAGTCTTTCTACATAGACCACAGACTCACAGAGTGGAAGGGGTTGGAAGGGACCTCTGGAGATCATCTTCTAGTCCAACATCCTGCTAATGCAGGTTCCCTACAGAAGGTCTCACAGGAAAACGTTCAGGCAGGTTTTGAATACTTCCAGAGAAGGAGACTCCACAGCCTCTTTGGGCAGCCTTTTCTCTGTTACCCTCACAGTAAAGAAGTTATTACTTGTGTTCATGTGGAACTTCCTGCTTTCCAGTTTGTGTCCACTGCTGCTTTCCTGTCACTCTTGACACCTGCCCTTCAGATATTTGTAAGAGTTGAGAAAAGATGCCCTCTCAGTCTTCTCCAGGCTGAACAGCCCCACATCTCTCAGCCTTTCCTCAAAAGGGAGATAGATGCTCCAGCCTCTTCATCATCTCTGAGCCCATAACTGGACTGTCTCCAGAAATTCCCCGTCTTTCTTGAACTGAGGAGCCCAGAATTGGATGTGACCTCACTGGGCTAGAGTGGAGGGGTAGGATCACCTCCTTCAACCTAATGTAGTAAAGCCGTTTTGTTTTCCAAGATAAACATATTGTAACTGTCATTGTAAAGAACACGCTTTAGGTCTTAAATAATTTTAGTAGCTTTTTCTGACCTTTTCATAACACAAAGCCCATTTTTGGCAAATAAACAGTTCCGACTGGCATTCTCCACAGCAGGTGCTCATAGCAATCAGTTTGCTGCAGGGGCACTATTTCTGTGGAAAATTATTTTGTGACGCAGCAGCACACCAGAATGTACATGGTGAAGGGACTATTAAATTGTATGCTAACATCCAGTTCAGCTTTATACTTCCTAACTCTGCAGCCCCTCTCTATTCTTCATGCCATTCAGGTCACTGAATCTGCTGTGGGTTTTTTGTTCTTTTTTTTTTAACTAGAGTGCACACAAATTTGAAAACAAGATATGAATGTCAGCTGGAGTGTAAAAAAGAAAAACATAACAATATTGTATCCAGTACTTTAAAATAATTTTAATTAATGAATCAGCAAATTGCATGAGTTTCTGGAAGCTTTGTATAAGAAGCATGCGATTACTCTTTTGGTACTCTCACAGAGATTCAAACAAATACTGATGTAATGATTCATTTTTTCTTGTTTTAAATGGCTGCTGAAGTATTTGGAGTCAAATCTCCATGTAAGTGAAGGTATTCAGACATTTTTCTAACTTCCTAAGCTGAAGCTGTATCAGTGTTTTTGCACTTAATACAGCTTACTAACCTTGTCCAATCCTATCTAAATTGTATTCATACTGCTAGCACGTGCAATACCTACAAGCACAGAATTCCATATGACAACTGTGCCTTACAAAAAGACTCTTCTTTATTTTAAAACATCTGCCTCGTTACCTAACTTGATACCCACTAGAAAATCATGAGCAGTTATTTTTAATTTGTCTTTCTCATTCTGTTCATTATTTTATATACTCCTTCTTCCACTTACAAGCTACAAGCTGAAGTTCTTATCTATTCAATTCTGCCCTGCATCACCAAGATGTACTTTTTCTTGTTCCCTTTGAGAATAATTGACCACAGCTGTATTCAACATCCAGGATCTGAAGGCACTGTGGACTTGCCCTAGCACAGTGATGTTTTCTGCTTTTCTCTCTGGTCTTTTGCCAATCATTTCTCATAATCTAGCTACCTTTCTGATTATGGCTGAGCATTAAGTCACTGTTCGCACAGAAAAAACTATGCTCAAAAATAGACAGAATAGTTACACGTAGTTTAGAGCCTGACATTATGTATGCATAATTGGAATGATTTTCCTTAAATGCATTGCTTGACATTTATCAGTATTGAATTGCATGTCATTATGTTATCCTTCCAGTCAGTATCTTGAAAACCTTTTGCAGCTCTTCTGTCAGTTTTGGTTTTCACTACTGCAAATAATGTAGCAATATCAGGCAGCTCCCTCACCTCACAACTCATGCCTTTCTCTTTATTACTTATAAATAGCACATGCTACAACACAGATCCCTGTAAAGCATTTTCCTTCACATACCTAAATTTTTAACAGTGATCTCTATTCTCTACTTAGTAAATTTTAACTATCTAAAAATAACTGATGAGTCAGAAGATAAGAGGGAAGGTTCAGTGGTGGATTTTAAGACTCTTTGGTGCACGAGTGTTAAAAACTTTTTGGAAATCCAAGTTCAATATCCAAAATCACAACACCATCTTAATGCAGATTCCTGCAAGAAAAACTCTACTAGCAAGGTCTGAGCACCCAGCAGAAGCTGTGCTCACTCTTCCACATTTTCATCAACCTCACAAATCAGATCTTGACACAATTTTATGATTTCTATTGTTGATATTCCACATTACAACATCATGTAATGCACGGGAAGTTGAAGAGTTAATGTTTCAGTTCCGTGGGTTGTCAGTATTTCTGGGTACCTGGTTCTCAGAAGAGAAGAAGAACTACATCTCCCAAAAGACTTCATTGTTCTGCAGTCATTTTCTGAGCAGTTTTACCTTTCCTTCTGAACAGAAGTCATGAGATTGCCCCTTTCTTTTACAGCTCATCTCTGCGATATGGGTTCCCTCGCCATCTCACCCTCGGCATTAGCGTAAGGCCTTTGGTTTTGG